TAGCAGCAAAAATATACAATCAGAATCAGAATTACTTTATTAATCCTTTGTGGAGAATAATTTCATAATTAGATGGAATGATGAAATAGGGGTCCCTATGTCCTCCAGCAGTCTAAGCTTATATGAGCATAACTATAGAGATAGCCCTAGATATGTGTAGAAAGTAGACGGGGTGTCTGCCTCATTTTGCAGTCAATTAAGTCTCTAAATCATGTAATGTAAGGTATTATACAAATCCATCACAATAAAATCTATGTGTTAATTTAGCATAATAATATTGAAGTGCCAAAAGGGTTAAATTGATGATGTAATGATTTAATATACATGTACTGATTGTTATTGTCGGTTATATATCATTTCAAACTTTTACATCAAGACTGAATTACAGTATGTCTGTTAATGCTATTGTATTTTCTTTGCAGATTTTGCATGCATGATGCCATATACTTTTATGCTGTGTCTGTGCATTAGCCTTTTAAAATGTTTGAGTTGTTTTTTTCCATCAATATAACACGCAGTATACTTTTTCAAATGCGAAATACAACAAAGACTACAAAAACAACAGCATCATCCACTTATTAAAGAATTACTACATTGACATAATTACACTGTGAATTACTTTCTGTGTACTCTACTTTCTATCTTCTAACGTTAGACACAATTTCAGTGGGTAATTTAGTCAAGGTCTTCCAGTCAGTTTGAAATAGACTGATGTTATGCTACATACTATACTATAGGATACGTCTGTGTATGTATGGATTTTCTTGGTTAGTTCATCCGCTGACTGGGAAATTACCTGTGAAACGTCTTCCTGCAGCCAGAAAACAGCTTGTAGTTGCAGCCAAAGGCCTTATATGTAGGCATCTCTGTGTGGGGAGTACCAGAATGGCTCCACTTTTTTCAGGCAATCAGTATTCCGGTGAATAAATAGAGATCAGTGGTCTGGGCCAGTATTCTGTCAGACCAGCATACCTTTAGTCAATATCAATGCGCAAAAGGTCAGATTTGCATTTATCCCTTTAGTTTTGTATGAAAAAATGGACTTTAAACTACCTGAACAGGCGTGTGTCCCTTTAGTCATGTACAAAATAAACAATTTAAGGTAAGATTGCTTAAAAAAACACCAAAGAGTAAGCAATTAAATTGTTTTTTGTTCATGACTAAATGGATACATGCCCTTTGAAGTAGTTTAAAGTTTATTTTTCGTATAAAAATAAAGGGATAAACTAGGGATGCACGATATAATCTGCTCCCTATCGGTATCGGCCTTAAAACTGAATATCGGACATCGTCCACCACACCGCTATTTAACCCGATATTTGATCAGCTTCTGAGTTTCTAAAGTCTAAA